AAATAGTATGAAACGATGGCCTGATTAAACGGCGGGCAACTAGAAAGGGGACGATTTGCTTTTTACAAGTAAATGCGATATCATAAAATAGTTGCGAATACCGGTGAAACTCAACAGCTACAATCTGGCAATAAAATATAAAAATTGAGGTTATGTTTTTCTATTATACATCACTATAGTTTTGATTACCTTCGTCCGAATTATATTTGCACGCCTCTCGTCTCAGCATTCTCTGAAATCTACTAATCGCTCAATCCCAGTTGCAACTTCTTTCAGCTAGATTGCTCGCTTCTCATCAAATTCAGGAATCGATTAATCTGTCATTAACAATCGTAACAGACGCTCATTAACCAGCATGTACGTAATTGATGACGCCTGGCAGGTTGACAGCTCAGAGAAGTCTACATATTATCATTATCGTCTTTAATACAGAAGACCAATCAGATCGTGGAAATCGTACAAATTATGAATTCATGTTTACAGCCGTGAGAGACATGCGAAAGACCGAGCAATAACTAATTTGCCACTGACCAATGGGTGTAGTTAATGAAACGTACTTTAAATAAACTTAGTTGGAGCCTTTAGAGTCGTATATACGGACCATAGGGTATTTTGAAAATATTCAGGCCACGGCCTTTCCTGTTGGTATCACATAACCGTTTGAGTATTTTTACACGTTAAAATTCTGATCGCAGAATGAATAACTCTCAATGAACTTCTCTTAACACATGACTCCGGTTGACTGATGACTCACTCACAGGGAACAATGGGGGCTAGATTTCATAAGTTCGTCACATTGACCACGTAACCGTGTCATCTGATAATGTCGTGTAACCTCGTCGTTCAGGCACCTGTGCCAACGGTCGCGTCAACACACCAAGTTTTGGCCAGGCGTAACGGAACGAGTTCAGCAAGCGTCTGCAATTCGTCGGCCGTAGGAAAAAAGCGGCTGCATTCCGCAGATATCAAGAATGGTTCGAGAAATGAAAAAGCAGTATTGTTTTTGTACGAATCGCATTACTTTTGTTTACACAACTTTTGCCGACTTAACTGAACAGAACGATCGTCTGTTTACCGTTGTTTTATTTCGATTCGACTTCTGATCAACAACAGCGAGCTACTGGGGCTGCCTCTATCCGCCTGCATCTATCGGCAAACCATAAAAAAGAACAGCGCAATTTGACTGCAATTAATTGTAACGTCTGTGCGGGATACACGACGACCCGTGGTGCCTAGAACACAGTTGGTCCACGGCCGTTCGACACCTTCCCATGCCATCCGAAATATGCACACAGAGAATCTACGCCCACAAAGGATTGCCGAGATTTGAACAGGTGTAATGCAACCATGGGCATCAAATACCATGGAGTGATCGTCTGTTCAAACAGAGAGAACAGCGACGAAGGGAAAGAAGAAAAGGAATAAAGATTGAGGAAAATAAACAAAACAGCGAGAGCGAAGGAAAGCAGGAAGACGAAAAAGACAACAGATAAGATGTGGGTCGTAAAAATCAGTAAACGACGAAGAATAACAATCATCAAACACAATAAACAGAAGTGGAGAATGACACAGTGTTAACGAGCTGTGCAAAGTAAAACAACAAACAGCTGAAAATGCAGAAAATCAATAGGTAAATGTAGCGAACGCCCGGTACAATGGTTAAAAGCATAAAACGCGTCAGAGACAATATTTTCGTTAGCTCGATGAAAACATACACATCCACCAGGCTTTCAACTAGTTATCAAAGATTAGACTCTATGGATAAACGGAAGCTGTTCTAATAGCCGTCTAAGAGTATGCACTGAACAGAAATCGGAGAAAGCGAAGTTCTTGGACGCACAGCCAGAAGCAGAGTGCAGAACGTGTCAAGCAAGGATGAGACCGTGACTCATCGTGATAATTTACAGCCTCGAAACGTTCGCGAAGCCAGAATATAAGCAAATGCACAACAACGTTTCAAGGATAGTTCAATGACACTTGTGCAAGCCAGCCGACCTAGCAGTGGCAAAACGACGGTGAGAACGTCAGCCGAAAGCGGAGGATGAGAACGAACAAGTGAAATTATTCTGCGACATCCGAATACGAGTTGAGAAAGAAGTATTGGCTCATCGTCCGGATATCGTGTTGCTAGACAAAGTGAAAGGGCGAGTACAAATCACTGATACAGTACATCTGGATGACGGTGAGGCTGTTGCTAAAAGGAGAGAAAACATACTGAAATATGAAAACAGAGGATGGAAATATACAAAACATGAAGAATAAAGGCAGGAGATATTCCTTCAGCACTGAAAGGATATCATCAGCGCCTACTAACGTCGATTACGAAGCGACTATGGTGGATGAAATGTAGAAGGTGACTGCTACGCGCAGTAATGATTTTGAGAAAAGTACGGCAGTTCCGTAACCCTCTGCACAGGATTCGAACTGAAACGATGTTGATACCATTCATGTTATACTTCATGGAGTGTGATTTAAATAAAAAGCAAAAATAACAGACCTGAAAACCTACCGATAAAAAGATGAAACAGTCAATAACGCTGTTTCCTGTCCTCCGCTAAGAGGAGAGAAGAAGCATTAAAACTATAAGATCTCAAGACTCAGGGTGGAAATTGTAAAGACCTAGCAGTAAGGATACAGAATCTGTTGAGATCGTGGTTTTGAAATAGTTCGGAAGGGCCATTAATCCCTAGTAAGGGCAACTGGCGAAATGACCAATACTGAAGAGTGACAAATAGGGAATTTTAAGGAGAGTGTTCCAGCTCAAAAACAAGTGGCACAGATATCGAACCCTTAAAGATGAACAGACCATCACGAAGAGTATGAGAAAAATGAAAAAAGAACAACCAGCTCTATCTTCTCACAGAGCTTGTAATGCGGTGGTAATTTGCGTCATTCGTAATGTTGTCAGTAAAGAACGCCACATCGTTCTGAAGAAAATATCTAGAGCCAAGAGTTTCCCGTCTACTTCCAACATAGCTGTACCCATTTACCTGTTTGGAATGGACAAAAGGTGAATCATTCAGTCGATATTCGAACTCGCGTTCTCCTACTTCGAATGAGGAGTACCATCCACTGATTTACTAACTTAAACAAACCTTCGAAGTTGATACACCTGATTCAAAGTTAGCAACGAAAAACACTAAAAATTTATTCTTTATTTAACACATCCGAATCTGAAGTTTCCAACGACCAACAACTGTGCGATGGCACACCGATCAGCTTCGAACTCCGGAGGAACAGGGTAAGATTGGGAAAAAGATCTCATAACCGCTAATTAACTTGAGCAAGGAATTCTCATGTGACGTTGCTTCGATGCAACCAGTCGAGAAACGGGTCGCATGCTATCGACTTGAAAACAGCAAGGTCAGTCAGCATGAATCTCCAGTACGATCATATCAGAATGTATGAGGCGTATGACCACACCTTGTGATGCGATGGTTTCCTCGGAACTCGCTTTGACTAAATGGCACGCCGACCGATGGCTGCTATCAACGCCGGTACTCCGGTCGCCGCTACGAATCTGTATAACTGGACGCTGGTCATCTTTATTAACAGTTTTAAGCTCTCTAGCAAACACGCATATACACTGGTGAATTTCTTATTACAATTCCACTGTGATGACTGTACGAGGTTACATTAATTCAGCGCATGGTATTGCATTGGAAACTATAACAATGGCAGTGGTTGTCTGTATTAATTAAACGATTCATCCGGTGGCTGCGCGGGGTCACCAAGCGTCAGAGAACAGTCATTTCGTCGAAAGGTTAATTAAAGTCATCACAATGGAATCGTAATCAGAAATTCGTAATTTTCGCCGAGTACTCGCACAGAGGTTTCCATCGACCGTAACTGGGTGGAGGAGGGGAGGGGGGTTAAATCAAACAGTGCAGACGACCCAGTCCTGATACACAGGTTTCCAGCAGCAATCGTGGTACAAAGCGTGGACAACGACTATCGGCCTGCGCTAAAAGTCACAAACTGTCACTGTGACAACCATCTGGTGATAAATGATTATTCAGGGTGATAATCAGCATGAGGTGCAAACCATGCTATTGCCACGTTACATGACTTTGTATCTTCTCTTACGTACTCTTAACCATGGAATCGGAATACCTAGCAATTCGAGGTATCGGTATCAGTTATAAGACGTTATAAACTAGGACCACTGTAGATTGTCGACTTGATGACGAGGTTGTATAACGCACCAGTGTCATTTGAGGTACGTAAGATGAAACAAATCACAGAAGACACAGCCTGATTTTTAATTATCTAGTCGGAAACTTCATACGCAGGCGGAAAATGAAAGTTCCTGTCGTCGACAGCGTTCGAAAGCTACGATGAATCGGACATTTATTTTTTGGCCTCGACGTTCGGCTACTTTATTTTATAATTTTTGACAAGCACATGACCGATT